TGTCCTTTCAACATTTTCTTCCTCCCTGACGCAAGAAATGCTCCACGTTCAGGTGGGGACGGAGCATAGGTGGAGAAAGATTTCCGCCAATAGTTGCCGCGTCGCCTCTGAGGATTACTGATCCATTCCCATATGCTGTTGCATGCTACGTAAGGAGCAGCAGTCCAAGGAGGCGGTGCCTAACGGCGGTTTCGTTCCTACTCCCGGGGCACGACTTCACATCTCCGGTTTAGGTTGGTAAATTTCGAAAATGCTATAATAATCGTGCAATTTACGTCAAGCAGAGAACCAAAATAGAGCTGGTACGATTTTTGAACTTTCAGCTGCTTCTACATAGCTTAGTGTCACCGAGAAGGGCATAGCCTAGTATATTCGCTAATACAGTGTTCTTGCATTGCGGACCACGCTTGTATGGCATAGCAACGAAATCCGCCAATAGGTACTGCTTCTGCGGACTACTGGTCCTTTTACACATGTCGCTTCACGCTGTTCAAGGACCAGTAATTCGCGCAGGAGGCACCCGGTGGCGGATTCCTTACCGCTCTCCCCAAAAACGAAAATTTGCGCTCTATATCAAACTCCGCGCGCTATTCGCGAGCATGGTCGTCTGCACCTAACATTATAGCATTTTTTCCGCGCAAATGTTGTCATCAACGCAATTGCATTATATTTTATTGTCATATTCATTAGCGTTTACCTATCCTTTGCTCAAAGGCTAAAAAACACACTTTTTCAAGCATGAACAATGTCGAGGTGCGCTTTATGGACACTGTCAGCATTCGCACTTGTTTCCGCGCAAATGTTGTCTTCACCGCAGAAGCACCATATCACCGTCAAAGATCCCAGCTTAAAGGTTTTCTCATCTCACATATACAGAAATGTTGTAGAAGAATTATAATTATTTTTATATGAAAAATCGATGTTAATGAGAAAAGTATTGAAAAATAGTTATCTTCCTCAGTCTTCACCTTGACCCTTACTTTCAGCCTTTCTATGGGTGCAAGATTGATGACTACCGACTTTCGTTGAATGACACTTACAGTAACCAGTTCTTCAACAAGAAATGCGTCATCTTATATATAAAGCTGAATGTCTGTTTGTATGTATGTATGTATGTATGTATGTATGTCTGTATGTCTGTCTGTGTGTACGTATGTTCCGAATAGAAAATTCCATTTCTGAACCGATCCGGACCAAACTTGGCACACATACACTTCGGGCCCCGGCGCGTGTCATAGGCTACTTTTCGTCATCGATCGATATCGATTTTATCGATTTTTATCGATTTTTTTGCGGAGTTCACCTACGGGGCTGGGAGTTGGCACAGGGGGGTAATCGAGCATGGGGATTCCGAATACAATATTGGTTTTCAGGATTATCGATTACTTTTATCGATTTTATCGATTTTTTTGCAAAGTTTGAGCTACGGGGCTGGGAGTTGGCACAGGGGGGTAATCGAGCATGGGGATTCCGAATACAATATTGGTTTTCAGGATTATCGATTACTTTTATCGATTTTATCGATTTTTTTGCAAAGTTTGAGCTACGGGGCTGGGAGTTCGCACAGGGGGGTAATCGAGCATGGGGATTCCGAATACAATATTGGTTTTCAGGATTATCGATTACTTTTATCGATTTTATCGATTTTTTTGCAAAGTTTGAGCTAGGGGGCTGGGAGTTGGCACAGGGGGGTAATCGAGCATGCTGATCATCCCCAAGGGGGGTGATCAGCATGCTCGAACACCCCTGTGCCAAATTCCAGCCCCCTAGCTCAAATTTTCAAAAAATCGATAAAATCGATAAAAGTAATGGACGATCTTGAAAACTAATATTGTATTCGTAATCTGCATGCTCGATTACCCTCTGTGCAAACTCCCAGCCCCGCAGGTCAAACTTTGCAAAAAGATCGATAAAATCGATAAAAGTAATGGACGATCCTGAAAACTAATATTGTATTCGGAATCCCCATGCTCACTTCCCCCCTGTGCCAACTCCTAGCCCTGTAGGTGAACTCTGCCAAAAAATCGATAAAATCAATAAAAGCAATCGATAATTCTGAAAACTAATATTGTATTCGGAATCCCCATGCTCACTTCCCCCCTGTGCCAACTCCTAGCCCTGAAGGTGAACTCTGCCAAAAAATCGATAAAAATCGGTAAAATCGACATCGATCGATAACGAAAAGTGGACTGTGACACCCGCCGGGGCCCGAAGTGTATGTGTGCCAAGTTTGGTCCGGATACGGCGGAGCCGGGTAAGCCAGCTAGTTTCTCCATAAAAGGTGAAAAAATGAGTGCAGACAATCAATCACTTACAATTGGCCGTAAAAACCCGCCTACCTACTTGTCTTTTTCAATCGTAATTGGGACTTTTATGAGTTTAGAGAGGTAAGAGGCTTACACACTTATGTCAGTTATGGCTTTGCTAATTTAAGAGTCATTTAAAGGACGTGTAGCGATCTTAAGCAACCTGAAACGTCTCTGAAGCCAACTAGCCGTTACAAAAACAGGCTAGCGATCAGTCACTGATGACCTTCGCCAATTTCCGACGTCTCAGCCGACGTTTCGAAGGCAGAAGAACCGGATCCCCAGTTGAGCGCGATTGTTCTTTGAATATGCTGACGAGCCGAGGGCGAAAAACATGACAAATGTTGTCGATTTCTTTTCACAAAATGCACACCTACACACTTCCCACAATATTTGAGAATGCGATAACAAGACCAGAGTGCTATAGAAAACAGGACAACGGCAGTTTTGTGTAGCGGGGCCATAGAATAGAGAGCGGAATCCGCACGCAATCAGGGCACATGTGACATCGACAAGTACATTTCAATAAAAATCACCATCCGAGCGTAACAATGCACTCTATTTATTCAGCATTACAGATAGAAATGATGCTCTGTGTGTCACACCTGTTTTCCTAAACGATTTGATTATTTGAATGCATTTGAATGCGAACATGAGCTTGACAACGATCAGGATCGGTACGGATGTACTAAGCAGCGTTTATATTAGGCTGAACCGAAAGTTCGTTCGAACAATTTTCAAAAATTCTAACTTTCTTCTATCGCAGCGAGCCCGATTAAATTTTTATCAGAAAGCGTAAAACATGTGCTTTCCAACAATATCTTAAAGGCTTTCAGCTAGGTTCAGATTGCAGAGATAAAAATGGAAGAAAGAAATCTTTCGAAATCAGACGATTTGAGGAGAGCTCGCTAAAAATTCAAAAACTGCGCAGTTAAATGTAAAACATACAATGTCCTTTATCCTTAGTTTTCTGACTATGTCCTTTATTCAACGGATCAAAGTTTGTGCTGAGCGAGCTCTTCTTTGAAAAAATTATGATTTTTGAGAGGAAATAGCGAAAATCAGTCCTAAGAAATTGACTTTTGGCATTTTTTCACAAAAATCGCAACTTTCCTAAGAAAAGCCCAATCGGCACAAACTTTACTCAATCAGAAAACGGAGCTCAGAAAACTAAGGACTGGCTGTTTTGGATTTTACTGCATAGTTTCTGGAGTTTTAACGAGCTTACCTCAAATCGTCTGACTTCGAAAGATTTTCTTCTTCCATTTTTATTCCTATAATCTGAAGATAGCTGAAAGACTTTAGGGTACTTTTGGAAAGTACATGCTTTACGCTTCTTAATAAAATCTGAATTGAGCTTAGTCGTTGTGATAGAAATTAGGATTTTTTGAAAATTGTGCGAAAGAACTTCCGGTTCAACTTAACATAAATGTTCACACTTAGTGCTTTTCGTAATCGCAAAATTTTTGATCCATGCATCGGAAATCAAATTGCAGCGAATTTCAGTCTACACATTGGTGCAAGAAGATTTCTCCTACAATACTTCTATATTTTGCATGACTTTTTCGATGTTATGCACACAAATCCATTACCAAAAAAATTCTGCACAATTTTTCCACATTTTGCGTGAATTTTATACTCAAAGCGGGTCAAAAGTGAATGTCCTTCATGTAATAGCATAGCCATGTGCAACTATACTTGCTGCCAATTTCTGGGTTAGTTATGCAAATGCACAGAAATTAGTGGCTACCGTAATCTACTATGGCAAGCAGTAACGATTCAGTTGTTTCATATAATTGGACCGTATCCATGCAAGTGTAAAATACAGAAAAATTGCGCCAAATATCTCCCTATGTGAAATGTGCAACTATACTTGACGTCTTTCTAAGCAAATAGTGAAAATGCACCAGAATTTTGAACAGCTGCCATTGGTGTTCAAAAAATCAGATTTGAATAATAAAATTATGTTTTCATTTTTTTTCACTGATAATTCGGTCCAATACTAAGCAGGCTGATAAAGGTAAGGGCATGGATGAAGGTGGAAAACTGCAGATGATATTTTTGCTTCATAAGAGTATTTTTTCCATTGTCGAAGAAAAAAGAATTAGAAAAAATCAAAAGATCATCTCTCGGAGAGAATGAGAAAGTAACAAATGGACCAGACACCTAAGACAAAAGCTCGTCTTGAACTTGGACCCATTCGCACTTATCACGAGTTCTTCAAGCACTCAGCCCCTACCCCCCCCCCCCTTCCTGAATGCCCTAAATTTGTCCTCATTGATAAGTAGTGAAAAGCGCGAACACATTACACAAGTACGAAACGACACCACACACACGCACCGCACACATTCAAGGGGGGGGGGGGAGGAAACAGATGGAACCCCCAGTCACGAGTATGTGAATGTTATTTCACAGCAGCAACAGCCCCGTTGTGATGACTTCTTGTACTTTCGCTTGATGGCACGTTCTGTCTTCACCTCGCGAATGTGTACAGAGAGAAAAGAATTGATAACAAAGTGCAATCTTGGCGGGGAATAAATTAATAGATTTCAAATGAGAACGATGGAAAAAATAGTTTGAAAAAGGAATAGATACTATTGAAGTCATTAATTCGTCAAGAGAGAGCGTCTAGAAACTTCAAAAGAAAAAGGAAATGGAAAGCGCCATAAAAAGTTTGAAAAGCCTAAAACGTACTGTTCAATTTCCTTTCTAAGCTGTGCATTTACCGCTAGTAAATTGGCCGTTTGATGAAGTAGATGAGTAATCTGCAATGGCTAGAATCTGTCGGAACTTAGCTGTGCGTCACGAACCTGTAAGCCAGGGCTTGGCGGTCGCGACGTCGATGACGACAGTGAAGGCGGTGGCGGTGGCACTGCTGACGACGGTGGTGGCAGATGTGACGACATCGTAAATACTCCGCTGTCGGCAGAGCCGGATGATAGTGACGACATCGGTCGAGCCGACGAGACGCTACGATTTCGGCTTAAAATATACTATCAGAAATATTTTGTTCCTTTTTCAAAGTGTTTTTTTTTACAAAATCCGAGGACCTACGGCACCATAGGAGGCATTCAAAATTTCTTGTGCACGATTTTACGGTCATGTCGTCTTGTAACGTCATGCTTTTCTCTAAGATATCTTATCTAGTTTTGCTAGAGAGTCATAAATTGCATAAAAATGTTTCAAAGATAGATAGTAGGCACAAGACGCAGATATGTAGTTTGGGGGGGGGGGAGGGGAGGGAGAGGAGCCGAGGATTATATTGATGTCCTACAGAATTTCGTGTTCAATCGGTTTTCAGTAGTAAGTAATGGAAAATTTTTTGTATATTTCTGAAAATTCAAATAGGACATGTAAAATTTTCTTGGCATGTGGATCTTGCAAAACTGAAAAGCTTGATAGTTTGAATAGAATTTATGAGTTGAAATCTTCCATGTCATAAATTTTACAAAACTTAACAAAAGCTCTGAAATCATTTCGTAGACGAACCCTAAGTACGGTATGCCAAAAATACCTCCCCCCCCCTTGTGCCCCTTGGTACGGTAACTGTAGCCTTTCTATCAAAACCATCCGATAAACATATCTTAGGCGGAAGTAACAGGTTCATCGGTCTTTCATTTCAATTAGTTAATCTCAGAGTGCAACTCATCAGTTTTCTGTCAAGATCTTTTAGGAAGTCGGAGACAATTCTTCATATTCAACTACTCATTCCTCCGACTTGTTCACCAGTAGGTTACAGTACCAAGGGTCCAACGCGGCATAATTTGTGCTTGAAAACCTCGGATCGATCATTCTTCTTTGTTGCGGTTAAGCATGTTTGCTGTCTTTCTTTTTTTTTCGCTCGGTCAGATGGGGAGAGAGAAAAAAGCACAAGCTTCAAATAGTTTCTATCACGCACCGTTAGAAAAACTCTTACACAATCTTTTTAGGTTCAAAAAACTGGATAAAAAATATTTACGCAACGAGAGATACATAGGGACGGGGATCTTATTGCGAGAAATCACGCAGTAACAGCCCAGTTCCCCTTACCATACGGCATAGCAAATTCATGTGAACTGCACATACCACATACTACTACGGCTCATGTCTTCAAAAGGTACTTTTGAGAACGTGCTCTATCTACGTCATTTATAGGACTAATTAGTCATGTGACAGGGAAGTGGATATTCATTATTCTCTGGAGCTTCAAGTACAGCATCAGAGCTCCATCGGCAAGAACAATGCTTGTCCGTTGAATCTCTTAATTCGCCTCACACAAGATACTGAGCTTAGAAACAAACAAGATGAGAAGTTCACATGAACATGAATCTTCCTCGTTGTATTACGTCTCGGAAGCGGAAATGTCCATGTTTGAAAATGTGGGACTCCTATGCTCAAAATGCAAAAAGTTTGACCAGAAGCAGCTTGTCACTTTGTTAAAAGTCTTCTTAGAGTGTTAAAGCGAAATGATATTAAATTTTACCATTTTTCTATTGAACAAGATGTAATAAGTCATACAAGCTTCGACCTCATCATGCAGGGTGTCCAAAAAAATGTGAACACTGTTTGAACATTAATAACTCAGCAACAACATTAACAACATTAACATTAACAACATTAACATTGACAACATTAACACTAATAACATAAATACAAAATAATATTTCAAGCTCGACGAAAGACATGAAAACAAGGGAGTTATTAACGATCAAACAGCGTTCACTATTTTTTTGGACACCCTATGTTTATCCTGCAGCATTCTGCTGTAAAATTGCTACCAAGATACTCAAGCAAAGTAAAGCTGGAAATTCCCACTGATATATTTCGCCTTGTGATTATCATTCATAAAAACATGAGGGTTTCACTGATTTATTAAGCGATTACTTGTGGTTAGACGTCCATAACTTTTCGATTTTGCCACATAATTAGAAATACTTTATTAAATGTTTTAGTTATCCTCTACCGCGAATTCTTATGCAAACTAAAATCGGATGAACTTTCGTACTACTCTCAAGCCTCCTTTTATAGACGAAGTTGTGCTTTCTTTTCTGATTCTTTAACTTCTAATACCTTTTTTACTGCGCAACCATTAAAATATGTGCATAGCAAAAAGAAATTTGTGATTCAAATATTCTTTGTATGTAATAGCATCTGGTTGTTAAGAGTAATCGGCCCAAACAGCAATAAGCACAGCATGCATCCAGCATCACTATATGATTTGATCATAGGAAAAGTTGAAATCGCATTCTAGCAAGAAAAACTGAATTTCCTTGGGGGGAAGCGTAGAAGATTGCTCACCAATGCTATATTTTTCTAGAGGCTTTACCACATCGAATGCTCAATGCACTAAATAAAATTACACTGATTGGCTAAAAAAGGAAAAAGTTGTGTCTGGAAGTGCCATGGTACAGAGTGGCCAGCGTGTTTCAAAAGATTAAAGGCAGCGTCCACCCAAGAATTTGCTTCCCATGTTTTTGCCATTCTGGAGCTATTCTAGAGTTTTCCGTGGCCCTGATTACGCTTATGATGTTCAAATTATCCAAAATTCCAACCCCCCCCCCCCGATTACTGGGGACCCTGTCTTGAGGGTGCGGACGGTTTTCAGTGCATGAGTGGGTGGAGCTTGACAGGATCTGGGCGGGGCTTGATAGCACTTTGCCTGTTCCAGGCCCATTATCTCCATTCAGAGACAACATTAGAGGAACGGATCAGGCAGATGCCCCTCCCCTACCTTCAGGATCGGCACTTATCAAAGGGGGAGGGGGTTAGATTTAGCCTGGACACTGCCTTCAAGGTAAATCGTACTTTTTGATTGCCATTTGAAGGTTTGTCCGGTTGGAAGCAGGAACGAAGCCTTCGCAACCTTTTCCAACCAGTGATTGAACCTCGTAGATAGAATCCTAGCCGAATCTGTGCTTTCTGCGCCCTGCTGATCGTACCCTCCTTATTTTCCACTCACTGGTGAAGCATTATTTGTTCTCATATTTTTATCATAGGTTTTTGACAGTGCGCTTCTGTAATTTCAGTATATGTTTTGACGATCAAATTCCAGAATTAAAGTGAAAATTTTGATTACTTGAATTGAATTTTCAAATTATTATTTGTTACATCACCCTGGCACCCCATTATTGTGATTTTTAATGCGCCATTCTATGTTTACTCAAGTATTCAAGCATTGTACGTGAACATTTCCATTGTGACAACGGGACGAACGTCAACAAACCGAGCTGATAACCCATGGAACTGCAATAACAGCAAAAAGCATTGGCACTCGGGCGCGCATCAGTGCATTGTCGCTGACAAACATAGAGGACACTTCGCAGTTAGCACGTTGCTGCTGCCGTCGTTGTTTTCTTATCTTGAAACTCTGATTATATTCCCTCCCCCTCTTCTATGTCTGCTAATCACCTTCTTGAGAAAAAAAATCATGTAAGGTGAATCTGAGCAATAGGTGAGGTCCGCAAAGGGGCCAAGGTGGAGGGCGAGGGCTAGATCTAAGCGTTAACGTTACGAGCAAGCGTAACTAATAGTGGACAATAGAGTAAGCAAGAGGGGAAAAATAGGAGGGGAGAGGAGGGGGAGGAATGGCGAAAAGTCAGAGTCACCTTTGAGAATACCCTTTGATTCACCTAGCGCTGGATGGCGGGGCTTGGTGACCTAGTCAAGGCTAGAGAATGACCAGAGAGCACGAGCACGAGAGAGACGTAGGCCGCGTCGCGGGCAGCGGCCATAATTAGGTCGCAAATCTTCGTCTTCCAGTTGAATAAGGTTAGCTCATAAGCTTATCTACTCGTGATACAAGTGAAACGATCATTTGAGGTGGGAAAGGAGCGGTGAAGGGAAGGGGAAGAGGGATAAGGAAGAAATTAGAATTTAGAAAGGAAGAATAATTTTGAATTACTACATATATTAAAATTGAAAGCAGTTTTTGCTAAATGTTACTGAGAAAGCTTACAAGAATATTCTTCACTCAGAAACTAGAAGATAATGGTACGATTTTCAACATTTTCTGGATTTGTGAGTCACGTTGAACACTTCATTTCAGAATGCTTTTTTCCTTTTTTATTTAAAGAAAAATTCTTCTGAGGACCACATGCTTGTGGCTGAATGAATTTTCTCAGAATACAGGGTGTCCCAAAAAGATGTGCACACTGTTTGATTGTAAATAACTCTTTCGTGGTGAAGTGTTTCGAGAAGCTTTAGGTACCATTTTGTAGAGCGAGGTTCAACTTAGATTTACAGTGTAGAGCGGATCGCCGATCTCTCATTCTTACTGTAGGATTACGGTAGAAACTTTGAAGAGGGTTTTGAGCCATGAAAGGCCATATTTTGTTCCAAAAAGAAACCAAAACAACCTAAGAACTCTCACACTGGGCTAACTAGAGGTGCTGATTCTAAATGTGAAGTTCGCAACTCTTCGTAATGGTTCATTAAAAAATTATGCGAGGTAAGCAGTAGTAGACGTTTTTTAAGTGTTCCTAAAAAGTGCGGTTGCACCGTTTAGAAAGCTTCTCAACCTTGTAAAGAGTTGGGTTTTGAACTCAGGGTCCACAAAAACCCTATTACATAAATTTCCACATTTTTTTGAAATTTTTTGAAACGGCCCCTTTTTTCACAGTGACACCATATGTTTGAAGTTTCTACCGTACTCCTACAGTAAGAATGAACGACCGACGATTCGCTCTACAGTGTAAATCTAAGTTGAACCTCGCTCTAGAAAATGGTACCTAAAACTTCTCGAAACACTTCACTACAAGAGAGTTATTTACAATCAAACAGTGTGCACATCTTTTTGGGACACCCTGTATAAAAAGTACAAAACCTTCATTGATGTCGCTACTAGCTATACTCACGGATTTCTGTGAAAAATGTTGTAAAAACTTTTCCCGCTCCTTCCCCTCCTACCACCTCCACCCACGTATCCTTCACTGCCTTGAAAAATCTGTTTTGATATTCACAGACGTATAGAAACGATTTTGTAACAGTTGTCCCTGAAGGGATAGAAAGGGATGTTCTAAACGTTCTTTCTACACAGTCAAAAATTTGATCAGCAGTTGTAATCAAAAACGGGGGCGATTTCAAAGTTTAGAAGAATGATAACTTTCAATAGCTCATTCTTCTCCAACAATGCTTGAACAACTCCATTCTTCCAACTGACATATTCATATAAAAGAATAACTAGCGTCTGTGAACTTTTGCTAGTTGAACCACATCTGAATCAGCATTTCACTCTAATGACGTAATCCTACGCAAACGAACTCGCTGCTCCTCCCTTCCAGTGTCTGGAGGGGGTTCTTTGCACCCGGAAAGGCTCAGCTACGCACTCAAAACAAACTTTCACACAAAAATCGATACGGGACTAAAGTTGAACTTTCGGAATTTCATAGTGGAGTTTGTTGTGTGAAAGTAGGGATTGCAGAGCTTTGTTACCATTGATGTCATTTAGGGTCAGGGGATTTTCGCTCATAGATCGCTAATCCGAACTGGCGAAAGACCGGCAAAGTGATAATTGCGTTACGTATCAAACTTCCCACTTTAATCCAAAGGCTAATTTTTTAATGTGTTTTATTATAACAAGTATTATTTTACAGTTTTATTTTGAATTGGCGGCGCTGATAATTTACACGGGGCAGGGGGACAGCAAATCTTCTCGGAGGGCACATTACTTGCAATAATCGAAAACTATTTCTAAAATTTTTGACACTCATGTTGGCCCTGCTCCTGTCTGTACCGCACCCATTCCGCGCAGGATCACTCACCGCCTCGAGGTGTACGGTACTGGGTGAATGTGCAGAACTGGACCACTTACTGTTAGTCGCGAGTGAATCCATTCCCTGCCTCTAGAATAACAGACTAATATCTTTTACTTAGTACCCAATCAGTCCAAATATCCAGACTTGCAAGTGCCTTGCTTTTGACAGTCAGAAACTTCTGAAGCTTGCAATTCTCACCCGCCTTCCAAGGATTTCAAATGTCCCTTCTTCCTTTGGCACCTGTACCATCTAATGATGCGACGAAACATTATGGTCCTCAAAATGCCTTTTTAGTCAGCGAAAAGAGGTGGGAAATGAAGCCGTGGGAGGAAGAAGAGGAGGAGGAGGGAAGGAAAGTACTTCAGCCCTCAACACCGCTAACAACTTCAACAATACGAATTGTTTTGAAAGTCCAAGTCTATGTTTCAACGACACAAGTGTCGCGTACTTTTGCGACAACAGAATAAAAGTGATATTTATGACGTCTGGTTATTTTGATCTGGTTATTTTGACGCATTCCTAAACTTTAAATCTAACGAAAACCTCGTAAATGAGATCATGTGCCTGAAACCGGGATAAAATAAACTTTCTTTCTTAGTTTTCTTACACCTTAGCAATGGTTCTGCTACAATTCTTTAGGTTGGTGTCTAGACAAGCAAAAAGCCGTGTCGGAAAATTGATGAAATAAAAATACCTACGAATTTTTAAACCAAACTGCTTTGACAATTAGCGAAAAAGGTCAAAGGTGCGACCATAGAGACGTAGGGTAAGAGCACGTTTCCACCAAATCAATGATGATTAAAACTAATGAATTATTGGTTGAAAAAGTAAGGAAAAAATAAGCAAGCACACGGGGAATCTAAAGTCAGCAATTTTCAGCTTATTCGTTCAAGTAGCTTTGTTCATAATTAATTTTTCATGAGTTAGTCAAGGTGCAATCTTACCGCACACCTTTTCTAGGTTGAATACAGGTTACTGGTCTGTAATAATTTTTTGAGAGGGGAGGGGGGGGGGGGGGCTGGAGGGGAAAGCAATAAAGAATCTACTTGAATTGAAAAGGCATGGCACTAGCTACGATCCCCTCAAAGTTTTCAGAAAACCTCCCCGAATTTTTGTTAAATTTTAATAATTTTTCAGAAGAAAAGGGGAGGGCCAAAAAATGGGAGAAAACTAAAACAAGCTATTTTTTATGTGACTTGTAACGCAGATAACTCAACAGAGATTCAAATTCTCTTTTCAGGAAATGGAATTCAATATTCATTTCAATAAGTTAGAAAATCTAATTTATAGTGTTAAGTTGCACGTGCTACAGTCTTTTTCAGACAGCTAGTGCAAAGCTATTAGCGCTTTTGAGTCACATAATTCTCATTTCGCAATCACATAAGTAAATTAGGACAGGTGATTTTGTCACCGATATGTTCTCAAAGTCAAAACATCACTTCATTGAAACGCGGCGCAGGGGCATTGTGTTCAAAGTCACTAAAAAATGACAGAATAGGGATCAATTCTGGGAAGGAACCGCAAAGGAGGGTATTTTTACATGCTGGCTTGTTACTGGTAACAATCGTAATTTGGAATGGGCTGTTTTGTGCCAATACAGTACCGTGAAAGGCTACTGTAGCAGAAACTCTCGCATGACTTACAAACACGCGCATTCAGTAAAGAACCAAAGAAAATAAATTCTTGATGTAAGAGTAAGTACTTCTACACATCTGTTTCTACCATAAAGTCATGGCAAGTTACAGTTGAGCACTAATCACTTCAACGGTGTGGTCCGTGTCTCCGTAAATCAGTAAAAACTGAGGGTACAGGGGAGGGAGAGTGTAAAAGTCTAAAATCGGTTTCTGAACGACGCTCGAGCTGAGAAAGAACTGTCAAAAAACGATGAATCAGTATTTCTGCTGCCAATGTGCAAAGTTGCTTAAATGACGACTTGTGGAAAATGTGGTTTAAGACTGCTCTGAGCTGGTGGACTAACAATTGCTGATGAATATCTTAGGTTGGCTAATTTCTGTCACACTTTTCCATTTTTTAAAAATCTACAAAACATCCAAAAATTCTTATGTTTAAGGAGTGTTGACGAGACGAACACTTGAACACATTGACATTTTTTTCAGAATTTTACAAAAGTGTAACAGAAATTATCCGCCAACTAAATATATGTCAAATTTATCTACAAGCGAGTAGATTTTCCTATTAGTGTGCTTGCGGTGCCGAGAAAAGTGGTGAAATTTGCGCGTGAATACGTAGCTGCGACTGTTACGCCGCTCACTTGCGCAGCAAAATGCTAGTATAAGTGGCTTAGCTATTTGGTCACGCGCAAATTTTGCCGCATTTTCTCGGCACCGCAGGCACTCTACATTGAGCGGAAAATCCACTTGACTGCATACGGTCAGACTTAAACTTAGACTCGCAATAATTCCTCTTTACCCATAGGAACACATTTCACTGAAGCATCACTGTTGCCGAAATCTAAGTAACGTCTTGCCCATACCGGATAAGAAAAATTGTGATTGACAACCGGAGATTCTTACTGGCAATTGCAGACTCAAAAACATTGCAAAGAATCGAATTAGAGCGGCTCCTTCTGGAATTCTCACTTTCTTACGCTCAAACACAGAAATTGAAACAACTACACCATAAATCACAAGAGTAATGGCATGTTTGTCCCTACGTTCTTGTGATCTGTGAAATATGGTAAGGTTAATGAGAAGAGACAACTGCGTCTATTGCGCGCCATGATTAGTACTTCTTACTTCCTTCCAGAAGTTTTTGCAGAAATGTTTCTAAATATGGAACAGAACTAGGAGCGGTTTTTGAAAACCCATAGTCATGTGAGTGCTAAAATAAGATAACACGCTTCGGTGATGTCACCTAACTCAGGTGATTGTCACATCATTTTCATTATGAGCGGTGTAGAATCACCTTAAAAATCATTATGTACGAATGCATGAAATTTACCACAGATTAACCAAATCCACGGACTCAACCACAGTTTGATGAAGTAAATAATGAGCATTTATTTATTGCAAGAGTATCTCAACAACATTAGATAAAGCGAATCTGTTGTTTCATCTTTTTTAGTCAAAAACAGTAAAATACATAGAGTGTGTCAGCAAAAACAAAAGCTCTGTTATCTTCGTTTTGTTGTTTTCAACAGAATATTCAGTCTTTGAACACTCATAAATTCAATGCTGTGCAAATCTGTTATAAAGATTAGAAGCTAAGACTTTTTATTTTTTTAACCAATGATTTGGCCTGGCCAATATTCAAGAGGTGAGATTTTCATTGCCAAGAAACACAATTTGACGCATTTTTAGTGCTTAATAGTTTATAGGACTTTCCAATTTTTGAGCAATTCCAGAAGATCGTTGTGGCTGTTTATCTTACTATCTCGAAATAAATTCAAAAAATGTTGGAGGTCAAAAACCCGTGAAAATGCAATTGATGGCGATCTGGTAGATATCTCGATAAATTTTCGACCAAATGCCGTCAACAACCTTAGCAAGTTGTTCAGGGAGCTAATAAGCTAGAAAGCTTTGTTTGGTATCATTGAAAGGCTTGCGTAGCTCTAAATTGGGTCTTAGATTGGTGAATTTGAAGAAAGCGCGACTCTTGATAGTTTTCCATCTAAGGAATCCCTCCCAAGTTTACTCCATTCGAAGAATCTCGTCGGAAATGCACACAGAATCCAAATCTGCATCGCTTTGCAGCATATTCGGATTGAATACACTAATAGATTCAATTGTTAGTCAGCGTTCTTGTCTTTCTGACTGCATCTACAAGTAAAAAATGGCTGTCAAGCAAAACGCAGACTTAGTAGTTTTTTCCGCGCAAATGTTGCAGGCACCGCAAGGGAACGATCGCGCTTCAGAAATTGTACTGCAGACACTCATTACAGATAGAATATCTGCTTTTTGTTTGATTTGTCTCTATTTTTACGATTGTTTTACGTTCTAATTCACCGCCTTCAGCCGAAGTACTTACCATGCTTGAAACTTGGCTTGCCACCCTGATATTCAGTAAAATATATAAGCATTGTCTTCTGCTTACCTCAAATGCGGCGTCACATTATCTTGTGAGAAGAACATTGTCAGAAGCACCGAATACACGGATGTGACAAGCCCCTGCGGCTTATACCGCCGTCGTTCGACGCTGCAAAGCTGAGGTCAGATGCAGGAATTGAGAAAAACAACAAATAATCCGAGGAATGAATACGGTAGTGAACGGCATACAAAAAAAACAACAGAAAATGGCTGAGATGAAGGAGCGCATTAATCTAGATGAATGAAAATTAATGGTTAGAATGAAACGCGAGCACGCGAGGTGCTTAGCAATTTTGCAAAAGGACAAAAATAGAATATATAAAGTGTGCAAGGGTTTTTATGATCGCGTCAGAATAAATGGCTTTAGAAGAGGTATGAAAAATGCAGTTGTGTAAAAGTTTAATATTTGAAAAGTAGCGCGATGACAAGGTTTTTAGTTTCCATGTTTGAAAGGGGTTTGCAGGTTTTAGTACTGGCGAAAGATAAAGAATTCGCTCTAGCAGTCTCAGCGGGCAGCAGTGGCGGTCCCAGGATTAAGGATCGGGGGGCGGGGGGCAAAAATTATTCTCGAATGAAGGTGCGTGGCGGTAGCTACGCACTCCGAAAAAATTTTTGGTATGCTTCATAACATTTTTGCGGACCCCTAACCCCGAATTTCCAAAAAAGGCGGCGTGGCGCCAGCCATGCCCCAAAGAAATTTTTTTACAAGGCTAGTTTGAATTTTTAAAAATTTTTTAAAAAAATCATTCTAATTATTTGCAAAAATAAACAAGTCACTTGCACATATAACCTATGTAAGTAAACTTAAAAATTTCGCGACCCATCCGCCACTGGCGGGCAGTGATAGATGTGATCGGCTCTCGGCTTGTCAGATTCGTGTGGAGGCGGGTTGCGGATTTTCCTGATTTTCAAGATGAACTTGTTAAATCTCCATGTTATAGCACTGTATTTCGTACTCTCTCATTAAGATTATCCTTAAAATCAGGGAAGTCCGCCTCCACACGAATCTAGGAACCGATCATATGTATATCTCATAGTTAGTGCTATCAACTACCAGGATAGAGAAATCAAGATTTATTCACTTATTTAATGCGAATTTTCGAAAATGCGAAAAAAAAATTGGAAGTACTAGGTCACAACACACAACCACATAATGTGAGGTCGGTCGAAAGTAATTTCGTCTTTTTTTAAGCAAGTGCCATCCGCGGGACATATATTTGAAGAAGATTCTTAAAGCATTCAGTGCAGTTTTTCATACTCTCTAAAATGGTTATCTCTATATTGCAGTTCATCAAACGAGCTCTCCGAAAATTACCAAAAACGACGACACATGGTTTTTACGTAAGTCAGGTTCCGCTATTTTTTGAAATTTTTTTACTAGGTCTTCGAAGAAGTATATGTGATAAATAAAGCAAACCCTATAGAATACGAAACATTCTTGTCCTATTTTTCTTTTTGTTCATTTTTGTTCTGGGAACAACTTGGAGCACCTGCAGTATAATGAATTTTGTTCATTTTCCTAACAATTCATAAATCAGAAACAAAAGACTTCCCTCTGAAAGGTGGGAAAATGTTGCATCGAATGACACTAAGTTACTCGCCGTTTGATGTTCTTTCACTTTTGAGTTGGCCGTATACGGAATTTGATAGCATCAAAAATAATTTTGAAAATTTTGAAAAGTAAGCTATAGTGTGGGAAAAATTGTATATTACCCTATAGGGTTTGTTTATATTTACAAGTTGCCAGTAGCTCTTCAGGGAATTAGTACAGAAATTTATAAAAGTAGAACACTTGGTCTTCGTGAACCATGGGTCGTAGTTTTTATATAAAAATAATCTGAACTAACTTGAAAGAGCATGAAACTTCATCGAATGATGAGCCTTTTTCCTCGGCATGTGGCGCTTGTTAAAAAAAGCGAAAATACCTTACGACCTAATACAATACGTAAAGATCCTTCAACAATAGATTCTGACTTTTTGAGTGCCTTCAAAACGCTCGTAGAAAGTCCGCTAATAAAAATACAGCCAAATACTAAAATTTTGCAGAAATTCTCAGACAGCGATTTGATCTTTGACCGTTAGCTTGGTCGCATGCCAATGCAATTCAAGACTATCTACGCGTAAGTTTCAAAATATTTTACTCTGTCTGTCCCTCTCATTCACGAAATTACTTTGCCCAAGAAAAAGCTGCAGAAAAACCTATACGGTGCAAGCAAAATGTATACTTGATGTAAAATGTATACGTGATGCTCTCTTTAAAGTATAATCTGCTAGCTCAAAGAATTTTTTTTAATCGCAAATTTGCAGAGGCGGCGAAGCTTAAGAGAAGATAATGATGTCAAGAATTCTAAGAAGATTACGCAAATGTTGAGATCACATACGTGTAACATTTGATTATAGGCAAACACAATGCGCAAAGTGGAAATTGTCGGGGAAATTACTGCCTGTTTCCATAGCAACGATTGCGAAACATCTACCCCAAGCAATTTGGGAACTGCTTTAAATTATCTGTCAAGAGTTGAAAAGTCGGGGAGATGAAAGTTAGGATTAATGAGATAACATGTGGAAGAACACTGCCGTCACCAAAAATGTGAAAGGAGAAATGACCATGAGAATCAATTTGCGCGCGTAGCCGTTGGTCAAGAAGTTGTTTTGGGCAAGATCTTGTAGTCAAAGTAGATCAAAAGTAGCCATAAATCCCAAACTTCGTTTAAGCTTTGACTCTTGAAGTTGAGATATCTAAAGATCTCAACGTTATAGTAGTTGTTGGTAAATCTGCAAAAGTTTTTGATATTGAAGGGTATTATGTTACATAATTTCTTTATTCATTAATCAACGCTATTGCGCCCAGGAAAAATGTGGCTAGAAAATGAGGAAAACGTGTAGATATCGAGATATCAATCTTATAAATGGACTCAAGTAGTGAAACTTCGTAGTCTAAGATGAACTCGAATAAAATATGGGTTGGGATTTGAATGGGCCAGAAAACAGGATCCCCTAAGCAAACATACCAAGCCAAGCCTTCAAAGAAAAATTTTAACTTTTTTGTCTCTTGAAAACGCGTTATCAGAAAACTGTTTGAGCTGTCATGGAGGTTCTACTTACCTGATAGTAGCCTATTTTCCTCCTGTAGGTTTGGCCAAACTAAACAGCTGCAAAAAATAATGACCAGGAGAAATAAGCCCTTACATATCTTCATGTAATGATTTGAATAAATGTTGCCAGATGTCACAAAGTCTCACTAGCACGTGCTTAGAATAGAAAAATAAATTATGCAATTCACCATCATGTTGACAAAGCTAGTAGAATATTCAGGAAAACACTAACAAACATAGCGTTTTTGAATATTCAAAGCGCAGAATGAATGGAGGCAGATAGCACAGTTATGCAATGAATTTTGAGTCTTGAGGATACGTTGAATGCTTCCTATGAGGGCTGAAGCTATAAAAAAGGAGCACTTTATAAGAAATCAAAGTGTTCGCGAGTAACACGTTGTGTAGAAGTTGAAGAGAAGATTTCGAGTCCATTAGGACCGAGCGCCTCAAGTTTAGACTCCGGAATTCCTTACTTCAACAAGATAAATAAGGCCTGAAGGTCATAAAGCTGGAATAAGATAGTGTTAAAAAAGATATTCCAATTCTCATTTTCACTACTAGAACCGCTTCTAATAACGACGTGGGAAGAGGAAGAATTTTAGTAAATACAGTTCACACACCTCAATGGTTTTGGGTACGTGGACTTTTTTTTACAGTGCATGAACAAATGCTAGCCAATATGGTTAAGAAATATAGTTATCTGATAGTGATAAAGCATTTGAGTTATCTACAATCACAGAGAAGAGCTTTCTTGGGAAAAATTCAAACCATGCTATTTGGAAATTACATAAGCATTTTTCTTTCAGAAAGCAAGAGCAGACTTTCTTGTGATATGCAGAAAAGAATTCGATGGTAGTGTTAGGGTAGAGTTAATTCTTCCTGAATCCCAAGATGGCCTCTGATAAGCGAAAATGCCAAGAAGTGTTTTCTCTTTTTTTTAAATAGCCGGACAGGTCATACGTCGCATTTCGTTTGCTCCGCGCATTAACCACCTACGAAAATGAAAGCTTCAGCAGTCGAAATAAAAATTTTCCATAAGAAACTACTGGATATAGGTGATACAAATCGTTGTAAACAAATAAAGCTGCCCAGGGAGCCCATCACAAGAATGTTCAATTGCACATATCCGGAATACCTAATCGACTTTACACACTTGAATCAACGACAAGTTTAGTGTTTGCCTGACAAATTTACTCCACCTAGTAGAGAGATTTTTTAGTGTTCAGCTGATCAGAAGTCCGGCAAAAAGTGTCCTTTCTGCCTTGTGATGCTGATAAAAGTCATAAAAGTGAGTTTCTGATATGAAAGTGATTTTTGTCACTTTTATCAACATCGGCCTCGTGAACAGAGCTAATCAAGCAAGAGACACGGGACAGAAGCGGCGGTCAGAGAAAGAAACTGGCAGGACGAGTGAAATAGAGCCGCGGGTGCGTGACTTGCCTCATCGGCGCAACGAGGTTGGCCCTCGACGGCGCCTGAACTTGTTCCTCAGCTGGTAGCTGTACAGAAATACGCGTTCACGCTTTTTTTAGCAGCACGCCCGACCAAACCAGCATCGGCCATGCGGCTATTGTTGCTACTTGTGCGCGGCTACCTCAGTTACACGAGCCGCTTGCGCCGGCGCGGACCCGGCGCCTCGCCCGGGCTTGATCGCCGCCCCAGCGGATGTGTGTCTTTATTTATAGCCATAGCATTTAGCCTACAGTTGTCCGCGGATGTTTATACAGGTTTGAAAATTTTTTTCTGGGATTGAGCCAGGCAGTGACACAATAAATCGCCAATTTTGTAAAAATGTTACAGTATAGAACAAAAAACCGTTTACCATTAGAAATTAGATTCCGACACTCCTGCCGTCAGCGGACATAGGGATCATAATGTAAAATTGGCCTAGGCTTACAATCAATTAAACATCTCAAGATATTTGCTAACAAATCTTTATTACTGTAGAGTCACGGTAGGATCTTCCAGCCTCTGTCGTTTTTGCAAAGAAGCTACGATCTCAAGAAATTTCAAAACA